CTGAATAAAGACCCTCATGTGATTTGCATCGGAGCTGGCTCTTTGGTGGTCTCTCAGATTCAGGATTCAGGTACAACAGAGAGGACTTAGAAAAACAAATCTAGACATTTATTTTAAGGTGTAGCAGGAACACTGACACTTGTATGAATCTCCTTGGCTCCCGTTTTCATGTTTTCTAAGTTCCTGCCAGATGTTCAGCGTCATGGTCAAGAGCACAGTCTTTGGAACTGACTGGCTTGGGTTTAAAACCCCAACTGTGTCTCTTACTGGCTGTCTGACTAAAACACCTTTCTTAACCTCTCTGGGCCCTTTAAAATGGGGATAATAATAGTACCTTCAGCGGAGTGTTGCTATAAAGATGAAATAAGAGAAGAACTATGGATCTGCTGATTGTGTTGCTATTATTATGTTGTTAAAAATGCAAATCTGATTATGTCAGTGACTCTTCCTTTTAATTGTCCGTCATCAAATGGGTCATAACTTTATATGCAGTCTTATCTCCTTGACCTTTTATATTCTGGGAATATAAAGGTACTTGTAGATTCCCAGAACCCCTAGAGCAAAGAGCTAGAGCCCCGAGTCCTGAACTTTAGGAAATGCCATTAACAAGAACATCCACTAGGTGGTGAGCAAGGAAAAGAAGGAGAAGGAACTGAAAATAGTCTAGTCTGCAGGTTAGCTCTACTGAAGTTTGGCAGCCATCATAAATTTGTCTGAAATACAGTTACGACTTGTAGTGTCTGCAATTTCCAGGGCCATCTACCACAGGTAGCCAAGAGTCAACCTAGTGTTTATAAAAAAGGGTAGTGGGGGCAGAAAGGGGGGGAGAAGAAGAACAAGACCAAAACAAAAAGAAGAGGTAGAAGAGGAGGAGGAGGAGGAGGAGAAGAGGAGGAAGAAAGAAGAGGAGGCGGAAGGGGAGGAACTTGAACAATAAGCTGGACAAGAGGTTGTTGTTTAAAAATATTTTTTAAAAATAACAATAAAGAAGGAGGACGAGGAGGAGAACAAGAACCAAAAAAAAAAAAAAAAGAAGAAAAACAAGTAGAAGAGAAAGATGAAGAGGAAGAAAAAGGAAAGAAAGGGGGAGGAGAAGAAAATGGAGAAAGAGGAAGAAGAACAATAAGGGGAAGAGAAGGAGGAGGAGAAAAAGGAAGGGCAGGTAGAAGAGAAGGAAGGATGGATGAATAGGAGAGTGGAGGGGATGATGAGCAGACAGAAGGAGGAAAGGAGGAGAAAACCTAATCACAATACTTTCCGCTCAGCAGTTGTTGTTGTTGTTTTTGTGGGGTTGGGAGGGGAGTGATAGAGGCCAGTCTAGGAAAGGGGTGGGGAAAGAGGAGAGAAGAGGAGGAGAAAGGGGTGGGGAAAGGGGGAGGAGGAGGATGTGAAACTGGGTTGGAGAAATGAAAGACAGTAAGTCTTTCTGGTGACACTTGCTGCAGGCTCTCTGAGCACAGCTGGCTCCCCTTGGGCAAGAACCCGATCCCCTGTGCTGAGTCAAGAGGCTGCAGGGCTGCAGATCTAGAGGAGGACCCAGCAAAGCCATGGTGAGCCTTTCAGCTTAAAAGACTTCCCAACACTAGATAGAAGCTCTTGAGTTGTAGAGGCAGGGGGCCAGGGGTAAGAAGCAACGCGTTTCACTTTTGGTTTTAAAAAAGACAGAAACCAAAAATTTCCTCAAAGTCTTAAAAAGAGTAATCCTAGAATCTTGCCTCTCCTTGACTTTGCTGCTGATGAGACTCTTGATGAGGAGCTATGGAAATCAGCACTTTTGCAACAAAACACTGTGTCTACCAGGGTAATACACTTCAGAAGATGTGATTTTAAGATGTGCAGAAACATCTGTAATTTTGTCATTTTAGTTACTCAAAAATGCATTTCCTTTTATTTGAGAAAATGAGTGGTTTTTCTTTCCTGGGGTCTATTTGGCTATCTAATTCTCGTAGGTATTTGAGGCATTGAAACATTATAATCAAGTGTTAGGTTATAACATTAAATCTAAACATCAATAGTTCATCAAGCACCAAGAATACTTTTAAAAATGCACACACCAAATATTAGATAGTCTGACCTAACAGCTCAGAATAAGAGCAGGTACAAAAATTACTAAATGTGGAGAAAAAAACATCAGAGCAGTAATGATTACAACTTGAGATTAAAGCATGAAAATAAAATGAAGCAAAACAAAACTATGAATCAGTTTTTATGCAAATTTGGAGTTACTCTTTCACTCATGCATCTGTTACCTCAGTTAGTAGAAATGTGTTTTATTTTGTTATTCTTGTTTTTTTCCAGTCTCTTTCCCGGGTTGCGTGTTTTATTTTGAATGTTAAGAAAGTTGTGGCTGGGCTTGGTGGCTCAGCCTATAATCCCAGCACTTTGGGAGGCCAAGGCAAGTGGATTGCCTGAACCCGCGAGTTCAAGACCATCCTGGGCAACTTGGCGAGACCTCGTCTCTATAATAAATAAAAAATTAGCTGGGTGTGGTAGTGGGCACCTGTAGTTCCGGCTACTTGTAAGGCTGAGGCAGAAGGATCACCCGAGCCCAGCAGGTCGACGCTGGGGTGGCTGTGAGTGTGTCACTGCACTCCAGCCTGGGCAACAAAGTAAAACTCCAACTCAAAAAAAAAAAAGAAAAAGAAAGTTGTAGGTGCTGCTTTAGGGAGCTGTGAACTTGTAGTTTAAGAGTATAAATCTAAATATAATTTTATATTTTATTCGCAGATATTTCCATGGAAATGTCAGAGGTCTCAGAGGGACTCATGGAACATCTTCAAGTTGTGGGTCTGGACAATGCTCTGTTGTGGTATATTATGATATTTATATATTGCTAAGTCTTTTTTTACTTATGCTCATTTTTCTTAAATTTCCACTGGGTGAACATAGTCAAAAGGAAAGTTATTAGACATGTAACTATTATTTTACCCTTGCTATGAACATTTTTCCTCCTCTTTCCTTTATTTCTTCCCCAGAAACCTCTGAGTTCTATTTTAAATCGGCCATATCCCTTGCTGCGGGGTTCAAATCCTGACAATCCCACAAAATCCTTTAATTATAAAGGGATAAAGTTAATTTAAAAATCTCTAACAAGGCACTTACAACCTGTACCAAATACTTAGTACTCAATTTTCTATTTTTTTTAATGAATAGTTCCGAGAACATCAATGTTATTTCGTCAACTACAGTGTGAACTCGTTAAGGGCTGTGGCTTTATACCTTTTGGTCCTTCTCCCATAGATGTGACAAGTTTTATTCTGATTTCTGTATACTCTTCAGCAATGGCTTTGAACTTGCTTTCACATTCCTAAGGACACTAATGTCTTCTTATTCCCTAGCTTGGATTTTCAGCTCTGGCCAAGCAAAATATTTCATCTACCCCTTACTTGTTCCTTATGCCATCTCTGCCTTGTGCCACATGGGAGCCTAGCACTTTTCATTTAACAAGTATTTTCTAAGTCCCTACAATGTGTAAACCCTATTCTAGGCGCTGAGAATACAGCAGCAGATACAACAGTTTCTTTCCTCTTATAACTTACATACTAGTGAAATTCGGCACAAGTCTGTTCAAAATGTTTACTTTATGATGTTCTTTACCCATCAATCACAACTGTTTCCTAGTTCTTTGCGCAATTATGATTTATTTTTTCAAAATTAATTACGTTCTCTTTGCATCTACCGTTCCTTGTTCAGAATCCTTAGGAAACTAAGAATTTGTTCTGTATTTTTTTAAGAGGCGGGGTTTTGCTGTGTTACCTAGGTTGGTATGCAGTGGCTATTCACAGGTGAAATCATAGCACACTATATCCTTGAATTCCTGGACTCAAGGAATCCTCCCACTAGCAACTATCCTGTGATCCTGAGATGGTCACAGTCTTGGGCTCTGTTTTGTCATCTCTACATGGCAGGTGCCAGTAGCAGTGCTAGGTTCTTTTCAACTGTAACATCCTGTGATCATGAAAGGTCACGCTGATGTCTTTCAGATTTCCTGGCACATCATGGAACCAACTCCTGGACTTACCATTTTTCTGAAAAACCTATGAACTGGGCAAGGGCTAGAAAGTTCTGCCAAGAAAATTACACAGATTTAGTCGCCATACAAAACAAGGGGGAAATTGAGTACCTAGAGAAGACATTGCCTTTCAGTCGTTCTTACTACTGGATAGGGATCCGGAAGATAGGAGGAATATGGACCTGGGTGGGGACCAACAAGTCTCTCACTGAAGAAGCAGAGAACTGGGGAGATGGGGAGCCCAACAATAAGAAGAGCAAGGAAGACTGTGTGGAGATCTATATCAAGAGGGCCAGAGACACAGGAAAGTGGAATGATGATGCCTGCCACAAACAAAAGACGGCCCTCTGTTACACAGGTAGGGAGTGACCAGTTTCTGTGCTGCCTCAGACTCAGGAAGGACCAGAGTTAAGAGAATAATCAGAGTAACCCTTGGAAATGCTGGAGGATGAGAATTGTTGGTAGCTCATGAGAAAATACTCACAATCCTCTGTGTAAGCTTGGATCATGTCACTCTGAACATTCATGGTGTGTAAGGCTGGTCCTTAGAACCCAAAACTACATCACTAAATCAAGTTATCGCAGGATGACAAGTACATGTGGGAAGTAAGGAGGAAGAACCAGATGATCAGTGCCCTTGATAATAGGCAGGGAAGTAGTAAGCAAGAGCTGGCCCAGGAGGGAGCATGGGCTCATATCCCATTCCTTTGTTGTAGAGAGCTTAGTGCTACGAGTTTCCTTCTTGCTAATCTTATGGAATTTTATATAATAAAACATTGCACTAGCTGTGGTGTATGAACATTTCTGTAAAATCTTGTACAATTCTAAAATACTCAGGATTTTTCCAAGTCATATTTTAACAGTGAAACAGTTAATTTGGTCTCATAAATTGGACTCTACTATTTTAGCAATTTGGGATTTTTAAACTTAGTACTTTCTATAAACAGATTGCCAAGCATTGATTGCCTGCAGAAATTAAAGAGGCCAGTTCATCATTTAACCTGTTCATTACACTAGAAACAAGCAATTTCAAGAGTTTCAATGTATGCCACTAAGTTTCATAGATGCTATAGAATATTAGTATTGATGATTTAATTCTAAAAGCAAATAAATGTCTATGGTTATATGCTTAGTTTATTCTATAAATAAAACTTTAGCATATAAATTTAATGCAAAAATGCTATAAATGTGCAAGTAAACCTTTTATGTTTGTTAAAATAGACAAAAAGTTATGTATGTCTAAAGAAATGAGTATGAGCACTAAATGTAACACATTAAAATACTTTTTCAATTTCCTTGAAGCTTCTTGCCAGCCCCTGTCATGCAGTGGTCATGGAGAATGCGTGGAAACCATCAATAATCACACCTGCAATTGTGATGTGGGGTACTATGGGCCCCAGTGCCAGTTTGGTATGTCTCTTTCCTTTCTTTATCTCTTCCTATGTAAAGTCACCGGAATCTTTGTAGCTTATTATAAAAGTTAGTTGGGACCAAAAGATACTAGCCATTCTGAGAAATGGGAAGTTTTGATCAGAAATTTCTGCTTTCACAATATTGTTAACTTGCCGTAAAGATTTCATAAGTCAGTGTGAGGTTTCAATTCACTTCTTGACACATCTTAAGAAAGAAGGAGTTGAGATGAAAGCTGTAAGGGTGACAACAAGAAATAAGCATGGTAGTTTCCTGATTTCATAAAGTTCACAATCAAATGAGCCTCTTAGATTAGCTAGAGCTCTAAAATCTGAAAGAAACTATGCCATTTATCATTAGGAGGGTGAATTACCCAGAAGGTAGTTTGCTTTTTCCTTCTAGTAACATCTGAATACTTTGTTCTCCACACTTAACATACATGCCTTGTATCTTACTGACTTTACTCATGGCCTTCTCTCTCACTTTGCCTGACCACTGCATGACAGGGGCTGGCAAGAAGCTTCAAGGAAGTTGAAAAAAATATTTTAATGTGGTTACATTTAGTGCTCATACTCATTTCTTTAGACATACCTAACTTTTTGTCTGAGTCTATTTTAACAAACACAAAAGGCTTACTTGCACATTTATAGCATTTTTGCATTAAAATTATATGCCAAAGTTTTATTTATAGAATAAACTAAGCATATAACCATAGGCATTTATTTGCTTTTAGAATGAAATCATCAATACTACTATTCTACACCATCTACGAAACTTAGTGACATACATTGAAACTCTTGAAACACCTGTTCATCTTTAAGACATAGTTCAAGATCATTTCTTCCAGGAAGCTTTCTTTGGACTGCCAGACAGCTAAGTGTCCCTATTCTATGTTTTGATAGCTCCACATATTTCTTTTTCATTTCTCCCACCTTTGTTGAAGCTGTGTTTACTTGTCCATCTTTCCTAGTACTGAAATCTTCTTGAAATGAGTAAGTGTCTTATTTATCATTGCATCTGTGGGATTCACAAAATGCCTAGAATCCATCAGGAACTTGCTTGTGAGCCTAAACTGAATTGGCAATTTAATTGTTTTTAAAAAGCATTAATTGTAAAGAATAAAGTCAAAATTAATTTAAATGTCAACCAACGAAAGTTAACTAAAGTAGGTTAACTCATTTCACTCAATCCCTGAGCCATGACTCCTTCCTGATACTTTACCTTCACCCCATTCCTGAACTTCATTTTTAAATTCTTATATTATTGGTATGCCTATTTCACTCCTTTTTCAACACTTTATTCTTTTTTTTTTTTTGTCTTGGTTTTTGTCATATCACTCTTTTCTGGTTCTCTTTCTACCTGTGATCATTTCTCCTGTGATGTTTCATGGGCATTTATCCAAGACCATAAACTGTTATTACTTCCCAGCTTTTGTTCTTTGATTATTGCTCTTCTGACTTTATTCTGCATGTCCCCTTTGGTCAAACTTACTGACTTTTGTGGACTGACAAATCTGTCTCTGGCCCTGAACTTCAAATATGCTCTAAGGATATCCTTTGGGATGTTCAAAAAACTATAAACTCAATTGTCCCCAGCCAGCTTTCCTTTTTGTATTCCTGATCTAGTATGTGGAGCCACTATTTACCTGGACACTCTGGCATAAGACTTTCTTACTTCCTCCAATATTTACAACATTCTACTGATGTTTATAACATCACTTTTCTAACTTGTCTTCTACCTGTCAACTCTACTACCATTGCCATCTTATCTTTCTCCTAGATTATTGCAATAGTCTCCTAGATAGGTGCTACAACTTTAAATTAGCTCACCTCAAGTAAATTATTCATACCAGAGTCAGGCTAATCAATTAAAAACAATTTAAAAATCACACATATATGACTATCCACCCTTTATTTTCTACCTATCATTTGTCCTACAAGGTGAAATCTAAGCTTGTCAAGCTCTACAGTCATGCTTGATATATAATAGATACTCATTAAATCAATGAAATAAGATAAGAACATTTTGTCTTATCTCCTATCTTTCTCTCTAATCTCATCTCATAACATTTTAAAATTTAATTTGAACTTCTATATGAAAAATACAAAAATTCTTCTAATTCCTTGAGTCTATTCTTCATCAAGATTTCAAGAGTGAGGTAGCAATGATGGCCCAAATGGCATGGTAGGGCCTAAGAGGTAATTATTTGCAAGTCTTAATTTAATCTAGTCTAAATTTAATCTAACCTTAATTAAATCCAATCAGGAGAGGGTTGTCAAAATCAGAAAAGCTAAAGTTCTAAAACTTATCTAGAGAAGATGAAGACAGAATTGAGGTCAAAATGCTTCCTGAACTTTATCTTCTTCCCTGGCAAAGAAGACATTGTGGAGTCCCACTTTTTCTCTGAACTTCCTGCTCCCAACACTCTGGTAAACTCAGGAGCTCTGTTATGGTAGTTGTTTCTCAGATGAGCTGGTTATTCCCATTTAAACCTATCTGGATTTTAAAATTCTCTCTCCAGATTATGCCAAAGATATTAATATGAAGACTAGCTATTGCTGAATTAGGATTTCTTATGAGCCAGGCTCTGTTCTAAGCCCTTGACTTACATTAATTGGCATGCATTTAGTTCCCACAACTATATAAAGATAATACAATTATCATTAGTCCTCATTTATAGATGAAGAAACCCAAGCTGGAGGATTTAAGCAACCTTGGTTAAAGGCACATGATTATCAGGTGGTAGAGCTAGGGTTCAAATCCAGGCATCAGATCCTCTTAACACTTCCCAATACTCTTTCTTTCCTTATTGAAGTGATTCAGGGTGAGCCTTTGGGGGCCCCTGAGCTGGGTACCATGGCCTGTACTCACCCTTTGCATGACTTCAGCTTCAGCTCACAGTGTGCCTTCAACTGCTCTGAAGGAACAAACTTAATTGGGATTGAAGAATCATTTGTGAACCATTTGGAAACTGGTCATCTCTAGAACCAACCTGGAGGCAACATCAGACTGGGGGCTTTGTCATGACAGCCTTGGGTTTAGGGTCTGAGAAAATTCAGTGCAGTCTTGCTAAGTTCGTGTCCTCTTTGGGAACATAATTTAACCTAACTTAGATTATATTGTGATGTTTGTCAAAAGAGTTATTCTGACTAAAACTAAAAAGGAAAACTCTCTAACAAAAAATAAAAACCACATACCTCTGAGCTATCTCAATGTGTAACATAATTTATAATACAGCATAGGTATACTATATTTTTTATTTTTCTCATTGCCTTTGCATAAATAACCAGTGTTGCTGAACCTCAGTTAAATTTTAGTTCCTCCCCTATCAATAACACCTATTTTATGTGGTGTCCTACTTAACACCAACCAATTTCCTTCCTAGGGGTAGAAGTCTTTCTTGATTGTTTTATTTGGCTTATTCTTAAAAATCATTCATCTTTTACTTTTATTTCCTCATGAACTCTCCTGACAATAACAACTATTGTGAAAAATAAAAACACAATCTCTTAGTTTTTTATAATTTGAAATATGGCAGATAGGTTTTTGTTTGTTTCTTTAAACTGCCAAGGTTATCTCCATTTGGGAGAAAACTGGCAGCATCTGAACTTGTAAAGTTTTGGCTACATATTCTACATGTATGCTCCTGACTCACTAGTTTGAGCAGTTTAACTCTCAAAAGAACCACCAAAATCCTTTGTTGAAATCATAGAGCTGAATCAACTCGCTTACTGAATTTTACAGAAGTTTGTCTTGCTTCAGAGAATTGCGATGCTTTTCAGAGCCACTTGGGTAGACTTTAGAACAGGTGAAAAGGTGGGCATTTTCCACTGAGCATTTTCTGCAACAACCCTTGAGTCAGAGGCCATGTGGCTCTGCACATCCAGCAGATGTCACCACAACTGGGCCAACAGGCTGGAACAGCCACCTCTCCCTCCTCAGGATTTTAGTGCTCTCCTTGGCTTCGTCCCTGACACCATCCGTCATCATTCTCACAAAAACAAAGCCTAGAAACATTATCAGAAGTAATTTCTCAAAATCAGATATTCCTTGATTTTTTTTTTTTGAGTTGGAGTCTCACTCTGTCGCCCAGACTGGAGTGCTGTGGCCGCTCCCAGCCACCGCAGCCTCGACCTGCTGGGCTCCGGCGATACTTCCGCCTCAGCCTTCCAAGCAGCCGGAATTACAGGCATACGCTACCATGCCCAGCTGATTTTTTGATTTATTATAGAGATGAGGTCTCGCTGCCCAGGCGAGTCTTGAAGCCGCGGGCTCAGGCAATTCACTCACCTCAGCCTCCCAAAGGCGCGGGATTACAGGCTGAGCCACCGAGCCCGGCTATTTCTAGATTTATGTGGCTTGTTCCACAGTTGAGTCAGAAAGCTTTGATGAAAAAAATCTTTGGTCGAGGAAGGGTCTTTACTCAGAAATCCTGTTTTGTTTTTCTCTTTTTCACTGAAGTGATTCAGTGTGAACCTCTATCAGCACCTGATCTGGGGACCATGGACTGTAGTCATCCCCTGGCCACCTTCAGCTTTACCTCTGTGTGTACTTTCAACTGCCCAGAAGGAACTGTGTTAATTGGAGAGAAGAAAACTATTTGTGAATCATCTGGAGTCTGGTCAAATCCTAGTCCAATATGTCAAAGTGAGTAAGTTTGCCCTGAAAAACAAGATTTAAAGATGGAGCTGATGGATGAGCAGATGGTGGGGGAAACTATACTTAACATTTAAATTTTGTTTTGTTCAATATATGCGGCCTAAAAATAAAATTATTTGCCTTAACTTACTGTAAACTCTTTGGCTGCTCTTGCCTTTAATAACAGTCATTTCTTTTTTACATTCTCAACTCTTTCCATCTTAACCCTTAAGATTGAAACCCATGGTCTACTATTTTATTTCTTGGTCATTCTTCTATTCCACTACAATCCGACTTCTCTGTTAGAACATTGAAATGCCTCAACAAAGGTTACCAATGACTGCCTAATTCCCGAAGTAGTGGATATTTCTCTGTTATCACTAAGCTGAGGCCTCCCAAGTCTATCCATGCAGGAGAAGGCTCATGTCTTCTTCATCTTTGTATACCCTCCACCTGACTGATACAGCACCTGGCAGTAGATGCTAAAACAAATGCATGTTAACTGAGCATGTGAAAGAATAGCTACCTATGTCTGTCCCTGGGACCATCTACATGGATAACAAGAGTCTTTAAATGGTAGGATCTGTAGAATCTGCCAGAGAAGCTGATCTCTGTGTGCCCAGGGCTAGGGAGTAGAGCAGGGGAGCAGAGAGGAGACAAGGAGGCCTTTCGTGGAGGATTGTCTATCAGGCTGATCAGGGCCATTTCCTTTGAAGGTCTAGCTAGTGCCCATTCCCTTTTCATCTTCATCAAGCCAATAGATACTCTCTATTTGGAGCCTCTAAGAACTTGAGCTTCCTCTCCATTATATATCTGGGTGCAGGGAATTCATCAAAGGAACAGGAAGATTTAGGGATACAGTCAAACTGTACCATTTGTAAAAGTGGGTTCCTTCAAATGGTGGTAACTGAAGACAGAGTTTTTCATACCAGTATTTTGTCAATAAAGGCCCCAAAATGACCTTAATTTACACTTAGAAGACAACACACAGTTTTGTCTTTTGACTTATTTGTGAAGGAAGTGGAGGGAAGTGGTAGAACTACATTATTTGAAAGACAGTGCAGTTCTTTGGCATATACACAGCAAACATTTATTTTTGCACAAATACTTTAAAGTAAAAGCATTAATAGTTTCCTTTGACCGACAAGTCATTCAGCACAGATCACTGGCTTTTATTTTTTCTGAAGTTACCTTAGGCTTTTTAGCTCTTCTCTGTGCTTCAGAGTTCCATCCATTGAACAAGGCCATGTAGCTAAATGCAATAATGACCATTCTTGCCAAGATTTTTAGATACATTCCCAAGAATTGCATGAATCACAGATCAAGAGACTGAGATTCTGTAGGTGTTGGGAAAGTGAGACTGGCCCTGTCTTTGTTTCTGCTATGGACTTATCACGGGCATTCCATACCGGATTCCTCATCTGTCAAAAGGCACTATTATTGAGAGACATACCGGGGGAAAAGTCAAATATCATGACATGGACTAAGGAAATAAGGTTTGTGATCTCATGCTGTGTGCCTTACTGATTTCTTTTTCAGAACTGAACAGAAGCTTCTCGATGATCAAGGAGGGTGACTATAACCCCCTCTTTATTCCAGTGGCCGTGGTGGTTACAGCATTCTCTGGGTTGGCATTTATCATTTGGCTGGCAAGGCGATTAAGAAAAGGTATGTGAGTTTAGCTTGATGTGAAAATAATACAACTCTAAAGTGCAAAAGAAGAAAAAAAAATAGAAACCCACAGGAAATTAAGTACAATTGATTCAACAGAAGCAGGATGCCAGCCTTTATGTTCTATAGACAACAGTCCCTGGGGGCATGTAAATCAGCCAATACACACCTTCATTAAAACAAGCTGACTGAGTCTTGCTTTTCATCTGAAAAACCTTTCTAGCCGGGCTCGGTGGTTCAGCCTGTAATCCCGCGCCTTTGGGAGGCTGAGGTGAGTGGATTGCCTGAGCCCGTGAGTTCGAGACCCACCTGGGCAACTTGGTGAGACCTCATCTCTACAATAAATCAAAATGAGCCGGGCGTGGTAGTACGCGCCTGTAGTTCCAGCTACTTGGAAGGCTGAGGCGGAAGGATCCCCAGAGTCCAGCAGGTCGAGGCTGCGGTGGCCGGGAGCGGCCACTGAACTCCAGTCTGGATGACAGAGTGAGACTCCAACTCAAAAAAAAAAAAAAGAAAAACCTTTCTAAAATGCCTGTTATCTTCAAGGTACCTTGCTAGAGTGATGATAGTCAAATGAGATATTCTAATGGTTCTTTTGCTCTTATTTAATTCTGAGAAAAGGACTCACAATCTTCGTCCTCTAAGAGCCTACAAACCTTGATTTCAGTGCTACAATTCCACCAGAAAGTAGATCAGATGTCCACTAAGGTCTTCCAGGCAGTGCTCCCAAATATCTGACCTCTTCAAGAGTCACATGCATGCTCAGCTGTTGACACGTGAACACATTTACTCTGGGAGAAATTCCCATGTGTTCTTCCTGAAGTCTATTCACCATGACCACAGCTCTAAACAAATACATCATATCTGCTTATCCTCCATTATAGTATATAGAATACTACCAAAGAATGAAGTGTGTCCCAGCCTTAAAGCGGGACCCACCTGCTTGTTCCAGGCCCACAGTCTACAGCAACCTTGGGTGTGTGCTGCCACACGTGGCCACACTCACCATCCGAGAGTATAACATTCATGGACATTGGGCAGCTTTTAAGACATCCCTGTTTCAAGTTCAGGAAACATGAATCACCTCAAAACAATTGTTTACCCTCTGCTCTGTGCTGCTTTTTTGTGGAGTCAGTTGATTGCCATTTAATTTCTCTTCCATCAGATAGCCTGTTTCTGTTCACTGAATGTGATATGTAATGGTTGCCCCCATCCGTCCACACTGGCAGTTAAAAATACTATCTATCAATTTCTAATGGTCTCCAAACTAAGATCTGATCTTTTATCCAAATTCAGAATAGAGAATGCTAGATTAGTTTCTACCCACCCAGACGGACAATGTTCTTTCACTGCTGATGTGAAAGAACATCACTAACTATAACCTGTGAGCACTGAGCAGTTAAAATGTCTCCACTCCTGCTGTTAGACATTCTGTGCAGATTGGATCCCGTCATCTTATAAGACTATACAGCACCAAGTACTATATGGTACAAAGTGCTTAACTATGGCATTAAGGCAAAAGAACATTTTTCTCCCACCGTTGGTTAACCTTTTCCTTGAGACGTCAAAGCCTGACTCCAGTCATCCTTTCCTTTTTCTACCTTGTGTGATGATGGCAGAACTGAGGGTGGAGAATGCAGTAGGTAATTACACACTGTTCCTTGGGATAAAGTGGCTGTTAGCCAAATAACTTTAAGGACATTAGGGCCGTAAGTCGCTTAATAAAGAGGATATTTATTCCTAAATGCCAAAATATTTTAATAAGTGTTTGTAGAATAAAAAAAATAATGTATGACTGGGCGTGGTGGCTCAAGCCTGTAACCCCAGCACTTTGGGAGGCTGAGGCAAGAGGATTGCCTGAGTCCACAGGTTCAAGAACAGCCTGGGTAACTTGGCGAGACCTCACATCTACAATAAATCAAAAAATTAGCCGGACAGCGTGACAGCATGTGCCTATAGTTCCAGCTACTTGGAAGGCTGAGGTGGAAGGATCACCGGAGCCCAGCAGGTCGACACTGGGGTGGCAGTGAGCATGCCACTGCACTCCAGCCTGGGCCACAGAGTGAGACTCCAACTCAAAAAAAAAAAGTCATTTTATTTAGTGAGGGGTTAGCTGGTTGAGGCTGGGTTATGAGTAGGGATGAGAAAAGCAGTAGGGTTGTTTTTAAGTGTTTTACCTTGTAGTCATTTCTGCACAAGATCTCAAACTGATAACTTGAAAACTGCATGCTCCTGCTGTGGGAATCAGTGTGGGGCAAACAGGAAACACAGCGGGCAGTTAGGCTAGTTACAGTTATGCCAACAAAGAGAACAGCAGCCCTGAAACATCAATGACTTTGTAGGAAAGTCAGGATGTCTTTAATGTAACATTTAAACAGTCTTTTTTTGTGCAGCATCTTCCAATATCTCCAACTTACAAATGATTTTGTCTTCCAAACATTTTAGTTGCAAATTGGTTCTTTAAAACATGAAGAATGTTTTCCCAATAGAGACAATGATAGAAAATGATAGTTAGCTTTTCAGGCTAAACCTGAGAGCTTTTCTAAGAAAAAAATACAGCTTATGCATTTACAAAGATAAAGGTAGAAAATAACAAATCTACATATATGCAATATTCTTCTATTATGAGAATTGTATTGACTTTTTTAGGTTCCAAAAGCTAGAAAAGGGGACCAGTGAATATTCAGAGCATGGTAGTCATTTAATGGCCAGAAACTCGACCTCCATTCTTTTGTCCTTAGATAGATCTTCTGAACCTGGCACTTTGTAGCCAGAGTTTAGTTCCTCTCTTCTAGGAAAGTAATAAGGGAGGGCTCCAGAATCATGTTCCTCTGTGCAGGGGCTTGTCTAGAAACTGTATTCCTAGAATTATCATTCTCTGATTAGTCACTACCATTGGACTGTTTGGAAATGAGGAAACTGAAGCAATTGTTAGACCAAATCTCTAAAATCCCATCTCAGCAGACACCAGAAGCAGAGATTAGACTCTCATCTAGCATGCTACCTAAAACTACTGGTCTTCAGATTCATGAACTCTGTTTTTTATCGCGGTTGGAAGAATTTTCCACCTGAACCAACACACAGGGTTACATCAGGGTGTGAAACAGAACACATGCCCTCTTAGTTCCCTTTTCTTCTAAAGGAAACTTCTCAATAGAAACAGATTCTTTCTCATCTATTGCTATTTGTTTCATTGTTACTAAAACACATTTAAATGAAGATAAACAGATGGAACTTGAGATTAATTCACACACTTGATTCTTCTCACTCAAATGTATTGTGTCCATGTCATCCACAGGCCGAATTTTGGAAGCAAAAATCTAAGATAGATAATTTCTAACACTTTAGAGGAGCAGTCCCCAGCCTTTTTGGCATCAGGGACTGGTTTTGTGGAAGACAATTTTTCCATGAACGTAGGGGAATCATCAAGCATTAGATTCTCAAGGAGCATGTAGCCTAGATTCCCCACATGCACAGTTCACAATACGGTCTGTGCTCCTATGAGAATCGAATGCTGCAGTTGATCTGACAGAGAGGAGCTCTGCTTGACTGTCATTTACCTCCTGTTGTGTGGCCAGTTCCTAACAGGCCACAGACCAGTACTCGTCTGGCCCGGGGGTTGGGGACCTCTGCTTTAAAGGATTAAAACAGTGATTGAGCATTGTCTACATACTGGGCTGTGGTCTAAATACTTGGAATACACTTTCTTTCATCAGCCCAAAGAAGGAGATAGAATTATTACACCTCTTTTACTGATGAAGAAATTGTGATTAGAGAGGATAAGTAGCTATTCAGAGACACACTATACTATAGGCGGCAAAATAGAGCTTGCACCTGGGTAGAATTATTCTAGAGCCCCAGCTTGCAGCTACTGAAATATATGGCCTCCCAAATGATTTTTTCTCCTCAAAGGGACTTTTAAAACAATGTGTCTGCTTTATGTTTCAAAAGGAATGTGAGACAGTACAAAATACATTCAGTTTAGCAAATTAAATTAGTTAAAAAGTAAGAAAAAAGAAAGCCAAATTTAAATTTAACATACAAAACTAAGTTGGAACAAGGTTGAGGTTAGGGCAAAAAAACTTGTGTCACAAGTCCTGTAGTAGGTAGGAGAGGGTCTCAGATATGACTCTGAGTTTCCTTGCAGCCCGTCAAAGAAGGAAGCACAACCAGTTGTGATGTTCACTGTGTTTGTAAGATAAAAAGCATATTAATTACTCAGATGAAGTTGTATAATTCCTACCAAAGTGAAACCAAAGTGAAATTCTCTTGTGGATTCATGTAGAGAAGGTGCTGTAAGATATAAGGGCACATGTTTTTATTATATTAGCAGCTAAGTTTCTTAAGGGAAGAATCTGCAGTAGGATGAGGTGGCAAGTTGGGACGGGATAAACACGTCGGTGGGCATATTGGGACTGAACATGAGTCAATTCAACCTAGATGTCTGTCTTTATGAGCAGCAGAGAAAACGGAATGGAAGGATGAGAGGAATTTGCACCCACATGTCTGTTCTGTTTGATTATCTATCACTGTTTGAATGAGAACATTAAGCTTGTACCTCAAATTTCCTTAGACACAGAGGGTGTCCACCTAACAGATGCATAATATATTTCAAAAGATAGTTTTGAGAGTAGGAATCTCCCTTCTACCTTACTTTAATATACTGTAATTGTCTACTTTTCATTAATGCCATTTCCCTATTTTCTTTTCTATTTTTTAGGCAAGAAATCTCAGGAAAGGTAAGTTTTATCAATGGTGAAGAGTTTCCATATTTGTCTATCCTTCTATACCTTTCTTAAGATGCTCCCTGTTATAGCTAGGCACATAAACCCCACAGCAGTTATTTACTGCGGTCCTTGTCCAAATGAAGTTTTCAGATAAATGACTAGCTATCACTACAAGCATTTTTTGGGTACTAATAGATGAATGAATGAATGAATGAACAAGTAATTCTCTTAGGCAAGGGCAGTTTATACAAAGGGAGCTTTTGCTGATTGTCCCAGAATTTTCTTTGGGGATTAAAAGCATTGTGAGAG